ACAACATTTAATACTTAAAAAATTCAATATTAAATAATTTTTATACATTTATAACAAATTATAAATATTTGCAGGCAGGTTACAGTATTTGCAGCTTATCGTATTTGCAGTCTATCGTATTTGCAAACAACTTACCGTATTTGCACCTTACCATATATGTTGCCTACTGTATTTGCAACTTGCCATATTTACAGCTTACCGTATTTGCAAACAATTTACCGTATTTTCACCATACCGTATTTGCAGTTTACCGTATTTGCAAAAACAACTTACCGTATTTTCACCTTACCGTATATGCTGCCTACCGTATTTGCAACTTATCGTATATGCTACCTACCATATTTGCAGCTTACTGTATTTTTATATATCGATTTTTGTACTTACAAATACCGAGAATGCAGAATACCGTACAATGTAAATACTGTATTTTCTAAAGTCAAGAATGAAGGTTGATTAAATTCAACAATGTAAATAACATTTTTAGCGATCACAAGAAACCAATTTTTGCCTCTACAGTAACCAACTTTCAAAAAGCAAATACATCCAATAAAATAGTACACATGCCAGACAACAACAAAATTTTTAACAATGAAGGCTGAATAAATATTTTTTTCTGGCACAAAGGATAGAAAAGTCAACAATGAAGGCTAATAAATGTTTTTCTCTGCCATTCTTCCACAAAAGCATTCATCTTTCACAAAATCATTAAATACTCTTATTAATAATGTAAATGACATTTTATGCCGCCACAAAATATCCTTTTTATAAGCTACAGTAACCCACTCACATAAAACAAATAAATCCAATAAAATAGTACACATGCAGACAAAAACAAAATTTTCAACAATGAACGCTGAAATCAGTTTATCCATAGTACTAAACCAGTTCTGTGTGAATCCTCTGCCTCAAGGTGAACAGTACTTTTTGCATTCTCTGTTTTATAGGAAAGGGGATATATATATTTTTAAAATAAAATATAGGTTTTTAGAGTATTTTATTTATATCAAAATAACTCAATTATGGCTAGTCCAAATTTATTTCTTCTTGAGCCAGTTTATGTTATTAAGTGCGACTTACAAAATGAGTATAATATCGACATATTTTTAATAACTTTTAAAATACTTAAATATTCGGCACAAATAACTCACGATAAATTCTACACGTAAACAAAATAAATCATTTATGCAATTAAGTGAGTCGCGTGTATCGCTTTAACTTTCGGGCCTTAATTTGACGACAGAGCTCAACATGAACTATTTTATTTACTAAATCACCAAATTCAATTTAGCCCATATGGAATAAGATTTAAAATTCGGGATGTTACAATATATAAATTGCTAATACTTGTCTTGTCAAAGAAATCTAAATATGTTTTCAATTGAGACTGTCTTGTGCTAGATCACCACTACATCCTAAGAAGGTCGTCACTAATCTTACTTGAAAGTCGAGCTCCAACTCAGGGATTGCCTCGTACATCCACAACTATGAGACGTTTATAACAATGGTTACATATACGGAGATACATAACAATGTGTAATGAATAGAAATAAAATAAATATGAATACATCTATACGTGAATAGTAAGAGGAAATTCATACAACGTGTAGGACATCCCGTCACAATTATTGACCTTTGCCAAGTCTACCTTTCTCTTCCATCCATGGAGCAATGATTTGATATGAATTTTAAAACATACTATCTCCCATGGGTAGGCAATGAAGAATTCTAAGTTGTCCACGATGGAGAGAGATTTAAGATGTATCCCCACATTTTGATTTCTGGAATTGAATACCCCTTCAATAGTTAGTGCCGATCCAAGCTTGTAATGATCGTTAAGATTGGCACATTTCAAGAAAATCTTCTCTAGATCGCTACAAGTTACCCGGTCTCTATAGGTAAATATTTGTCCCATAGCCGAGTTTTTTTTCTAGAATTTTGTCAGAAGCCGACCCATCCTTTAAGTACTTCACCATACTTCAAGTTGGTGATTAATGCGAACTTTGGTATTTCAAATCTTACAAACCTTTGGTTCACCTTGAACCAAGCCTCGAAACGCTTTCGGCAAACCACTGACCTATTCACCATTTCATGAATTAATTGCTCACATAGTTTGAGTTTAGTAACTTCGCAACATGTCCTATGCAATTTTTCTCGAACATTACTCTTTTTTGTACATCGAATTTGTTGAGGACAACTATTATGTATTTGATGTTGCTAAGCTGTGAGATCTGGGCTTGAAAGCGCTCTTCCTCCGAAATTTTGTATCGACGTGAAAGTCACTTACTTAAACAAAAAACAAACAAGGCAAATAATATAAGAACCTACTAAAAATAAAATAAAAATCAATAGAAGATATAAGTACTACTGCAAACTCCTTTTGTTATATCCTAATCATTATGGCAAATAAATAAAACTTCAGAACAAAAGAAAGCCAAAGATATAGAGCTATTTCAAACTCTTTTTTAACTCTTTTTTTTTTTAATAAAAAAAAA